TGCAGCGCCCACAGTGTTAATAGGCCACCGAGCTCGTTTATGATCATGATGTCGTGCCAGATAATTATAAAGTTTTCAATAATACGGGCACAAAACCTAATTTTTGTCCAAAAATCAATCATATTATTTTGAGTCTATCCTCCAGACATTTTTTTATGGATTATGAAATATTGAGACCGCAGGGAAAAATATTATATTTACTCATCTAGCACATTATTTTAATCATCAAAGAACGTAATTACGGAACAAGAGTTGTCTCATCCACGCCTCTGCGGCTACGCAATCCGGGAAGGCTGTTACTAATAGACCGTTTTGTTGTTAAAAATATGACGCAAAATATAAAAGTAATACAACAATTCTTCCGGTCGATGTTTAAAGTCCAAGTTATTTCGTAATTCTAATCTTTCATTAAAAAAGACTTTTAATTGGCTGCGGGATCCTGGTGTACATATAGTAAAACTTGATAATGCAAATGACGAAATTGAGAATATTATTAAAATTAATATGTTTAAAAAACGCACTTTATTATAATTACTGACGAGGGTGTCCAAATTCGGCAGAAACGCGCGCAGCGCGGGGCGGGACCGATGAGCCATGAAAAACGCTCACGGCTCCCGCTGCGCCCGCGCCGGCGGCGACTGCCAGGCAAATAGGGTTGGCAGCATATAAGTGCGATTAATTTTTAAGTAATGTATTTTGTGGGAAAAAGTTGACCAGTTTAAGAGCTCCTATTGTAAACGGTAATAGTCAGAAATGTTTAATTATGATTACCTGTTAATTTTGTTTTTATGTACCTATTTTGCTATAATAACTTCACTAATTATTACAATAACGTGGTTTAACGCCCTAAAGCTTATTAAAAGTATTTTGGATGTTCGACATTTCCTATTGCGTTTCCATTATGTCGTAACGTTTTATTTATCGTTTGACGACTGTCGCGTCTAGCCTGTTCCTATATCACGACTATCTGTCGTAACTCTGTCGTGAACGTTTGTTTTATCGTTGAACGACTGTCGTGTCTAAATGTTCCCAATAGATCGTGACGACTTCTTTTATTTATCTGTTCACGGCAATTGATAATCTAACGCGAAGATCAACGGTTTAAAATTGAATAAGGAACCTTAGTGTACAATGCACAACTAACTTAACCTATGACATAAAAAGATAACTGCAATTGTAATTACAGACTTGTAAACTTATGTCTCAAGGTGACGGGTGCAGTGGTAGTGCCCCTCAGATCGTTGCGATTTAAGGCTGTGAGTGATACTGCAACTGCCTTGGTCAGGCGTGTCACTTACCAGGCGCACGCCTTTTTCATCTCGTCATTTAGTATCATAAAAAACGCATTAGTGCTAAGAGATGATGCAAATCTATAATCTGAAATATGAGTTGATTCGTTTTGATCAAAGGCTTTACTGTTCAATAAAATTATAAATCCAGTTTTACGAAAATTTGTCGATCACCGACCCTAATCCGTCCTAGCCGTTTCGAAATCATTAATTAGTCCGAAGAGTTACCCCTAAACGAAAGAAAAAGCCTATCGTTCATAATTGGTTATTAAAACAAAAATATTGCATTAAAAAACAACCTTTCAATTTCGGCGCTCCCCATTTGTTACTGTTTGTCTATGTTACTATGCTTTTTTATTGCTTCTCTAATATGAGAAATGATATCCTATTTATTATTCTAATTTACAGGTTCGAACTTATTTTATTTTTGAAGAGATTTGATTTATTTTCGGGGTAAATGTGATTTGGTTTTGAAATATGTGATTTAATTTGTCAGAAATTATTCTCTAGTCTTATTAAAAGTGCCATAAAAAAGGTATACAAGCTCGGGTAAGTTTTACATATCTCGATTTAGTCATTTGACAACAGAAATCTTCTACCACCATCACCGTATCAACCTTTTATGGTTCACGATCGCATCTTAGTACCTATATAGATAAAGTTGATAGCTTCAGAAATTAAGCCTTACAACAGTGATAGCTATTGAAGTAAAGTTGCAATCTAAGAGTCACACCAGACTTATCGACACGAAATCGATTTATGGCGGCCAGAAAAAAGCTTTGTATCCAAGTATATATATATTTCGCTCTTGTTATATATATATATAACAAGAGCGAAAGAGACGTTATGCGTTTCGCAATCCGAGTGGAAGTGGAAGCGAAACACGCAACGTCTTTTTCGCTCTTATGGACACAAAGGATGGATATGTATGGACACAAAGCTTTTTCCGACCCGCTTAAGCCGTGTTAATAAGGTACAATTGACCATAAAGTTCATTAACAAAAATTCGCTTTAATTCCGTTCCGCCGCCGCAGTGCTTGACAGTCCGTCGCGCAGGCAGGAGATTGTTCACATACTATCCTGCGTATGGCCCACGTAAGAACTCTCGCAGGACATATTGCAGGATTGCAGGACGGCTTGCACGCTACGACTACTTTCATAATCCTGCATTATGCGGCAAACGGCAAGGCGGACTGCAATGCAGGATAATGAATGCCCCCTTTGAGTTACCAGTCCAGCAAGTGCGTTTCATACAAATGAAGTTTGATCCTATTTTCAATATTCCCTCATCAAAGTCAACAACATTCGACACGATCTATAAGCTGTAACTGATGTTTGTGGTTAGTCAGCAATGTATTAAATTGTTTGGTTGCAAACTTCGTAAATTTCCATGGTTAAAACTAATTTTTTCTAATGTCCCTCCCTGCCCTGAGCACCCGATTTATATAAATAAATTGAAGCCTTTCTTGTTGCATATAAGAATACCTTCCTTTAATATCCATGAGAAGTTGTGATAGATATGTAACTCCTTATACCTAACGCTTTGCGTCTAATAGCTTAATATTTATCGCTTTTATGGTGATCTCATCATCAGTGCCACATAGTTATGCGTTGATACTACACAATAATGACATAAGTCCCCAACCCACATTGAGCCAACGTGGACTATGGCCTAAACCCTCGACTGAATGGAGACCCCTGCCAGCAGTGGGACATATAAATGGGTTCATGATGATGATGATGATGAATGACATTATCTATGCCTCATAATACGTATAATCGCTCTTAAAAGCTTAATTCCATTATTGCCTACAGTAAATTTAGAATCTTATAATCAAATAACAATAATCTTTTAAGTAATGGTTTCCTTTAGATCCCGATCGATATATTACTAAAACCGCTGCGATCGTGCGCGTAGGCAGATAAATCATAGTGGCGCTTCTTGATCCTCATTGCTCGCAGCGTTGATTGATGCTTGTACGCTGGCACAGCGTAACACGGTGATTTGTTGGGTATGTTGTGATTTGTTCATACAGGGTGATTTGTTGGGTATGTTGTGATTTGTACATATCGACGCGCACCCGACCCACCCCCCTTTTAGTGTGTTTCACACTTAAAGCTTTCCTGAAAAGTTGTGCAGATATGACCTTGTTATACCAAGGATACGAATATGTTTGGTGGTAGAAATAGGTAAGGTGGCAGTACTTTTCTATACGAGCTCTTTGACAATAAGCTCTACCGCTACTGTCTATCTAGAAGTATGAAAGAAAATTAATTCCGTGATTCGTTAAGTAAAGATATTAATGTGTTTGCGTTGCCGTTTGCTAATAAAAACCACGTTCCGTACGGCGTTCGAACCATGTTCATGGATAATTGGTCTAATTAATCGTATTTCGTATAGCTTCAATAAAGATAATTTCGTTGAAATACGAAACATTGGCAAATTGAAATAGCTCAATAAGTACAAGTGCGAAAAATTTAATAGTGCGTAAAAATCTAATTTTAGTACAAATAGTACTAGAATTAAATGACTTTGCACGTTAAAGTGTTTGTTTTTAACCGACTTTAAAAACTTTTTTAACCGACTTGAAAAAAAGGAGGAGGTTCTCAATTAGACTGTATGTATGTTACTAGATATCTCCGGTATTTGTGAACCGATTCTCATGATTCTTTTTTTGTTGGAAAGAGGGTACCTCCATAGTAGTTCCATTTAATTTTGACCTCTAAGGGTGACTGTTGACGCATGAAGATTCATTTTTATAAATAGCGTCTAAATTTTATTATAAGGAGCAATCATTTTAATGGTTGATTTTGCTATTCTCCAATTCAAGGCGTTTCTCTCTCTCAATATACTTTCAGTAGTGAGAGCCGATTTTTATTATCTCCTGTGTCAAGTCCCGTATAGTGACGAACTAGGGGATGAATCCGGGTTTGCGCACTTTCCGGTAACCGATTTCAATAAAACTTGGTAATTATATGTAATTCCACATACTTTTGAGGTCGGTTTTTTAGTACTCTGTACTGAGATTATTTGTGAATGTGTTACGCGATTACTCCGTTTGTGAACCGATTTCCATGATTCTTTTTTGTTGGCGATGGGCTACCTCAGTAGTGTACCCATTGAAATTTGATGAAAATGTTCTACCTCTAAAGGTGGTAAATTAGGGGATGAATCCGGTTTATTGAATTTCTATTAACCGCTTTTAATAAAACTTGACACATACTTGTAGATGTAATTCCAATTCAAATAAAATGTTATGGTAACCTAAGCTTATCTGACTATGG